GAAGAGGTCAAAGCAGCTTACTGCCCATTTATAAAACCTTGGTTTCTTAAATACAAGGTTTCTCTCCTGCAGTAAATTCAATATATAAGTGGATATCACCTAGCCCTCTTCAAGTTGCTCACTGTGAACTGAAGCTCAAGGAACCAGTACAAATGCTGGTACACTGTTAATTTTATTGCTGTAATAAACTATCCTTCATCTGTGACACAAGAATCCCACATCTTCTGCCATCATCCAAGACACTGTGGCATTCCTGACAAGCAGCTTTGGCTATTTCCGAGCACGCTTCAAGGAGTGGTCATACATATAATCTAACCTAAGTGAAAAACTGCCTGCACCTGTATCTTCAGTGCATATACGCATACATATCAGTGTATAACTACTCTGCATTTCTTGTGTTTTGAATGCAAATGTTTTTTTCCGCTTAAGTTCTTTGCTTAAAGGCAACATCCATTGCTTACCTCTGTCCTCTCCCCTCATGTCATTTGCTAAGATAGTAAATTCTCCATTTCACAGTTGTTCCATGAAGACTAACTGGATAACATACATCTCAATGTAAAAGATACTTAAAAACATTAATGACATGCAGAAGTTATGTCAAAGTCAATTGAAATATGTTTCATTTAGTCAAACAATTTAATTATGACTTAGTAAATATTTATGAGCTGTTCAATTTTTCATGTTGCATATTCATTATTACCTATATATCATAGCCTATTAGCTACTCATATTCTTTGCAGATAAATTATAACAGCTGCTTTTGATAATGGCAAACTCAGTAAGTTTACTGGAAATAATTAAAGAATTGGAGCTCTTTTCACATTATCAGAAGAGGTCATTATAAATTAAAACAATTCTAAATGAAGCTGATTAACTGTTTAAGTGTTAATGATGTAAGACAGAAACTGTCAAAATAGAAGAAACATAAGATGCACTAGATATACAAATGAACGATACTAAGAAGCCAAAGTCTCCCAGAAACTCAAATCACTTAACATCAGTAAGGATTCAAAAATTAGTTTTTAATGACTATATTAAATGTAATTAAGAAAACAGACTATAAAAATCTCCAATCTTCTTTGCCTATTCATTTAACTCTCTCAACTACATTCTCAAATACAGCATATAATGAAACATTATTTTTAATGAAAATGTCTTCATGAAGAAGCATATGTGTATGTGTATAAACACAACGCACATACATCATACACATACACACACACACACACACAGAGAGAGAGAGAGAGAGAGAGAAATCCATGGATATCACCAATTTTTCTATGACACAAAATCTCCTCTGGGAAAATTTCAAACAACGTAAGAGAATTTGGAATTCTCAGTGCTTCATAATAACTAAAAGACTATTCCAGAGATCATATAATTTATTATTATAAAGTTAATTTATTTAGCAAAAAAAAAAAATCAATTTAAAATAATCTTACCACATTTCAGAATCTCATTACACTAATGCTTTCATTTAAATGAGGAATACAGGGTGGGTGTGGTGGTTTACGTCTGTAATCCCAGCACTTTGAGAGGCCAAGGCGGGTGGATCATTAGGTCAGGTCAATATGGAAGAGACAGTTTCACAACATTGGCCAGGCAGGTGAGACCAGCCTGGCCAATATCGTGAAACCACGTCCCTACTCTAAATACAAAAATTAGCTGGGCATGGTAGTGCACACCTGTAATCCCAGCTACTTAGGAAGCTGAGGCAGAAGAATTACTTGAACCTGCGAGGCGGAGGTTGCAGTGAGCCCAGATTGCACCACTGCACTACAGCCTGCACGACAATAGCAAAACTCAGTCTCAAAATAAATAAATAAATAAATAAATGAGGAAACGTAGTAATAGCTACCACTTAGTGACCATGTGTTATGTTATAGGCATTGCACTAAGCATTTTATAGTCTTTATATACCTATAATATACATATTATTTTATGTATATTTATACATATTTATTTATACACATATTTATTTATACATATAATAATTATATGTATAATTATTTTACATATTATATACATATATGTTACACACATGTATACACAATACCTGAGATGTAAGTATATTTAGATTTTAAAACAAGCCAACTAAATTTCATCAGTCTGTCATATGCCTGATGTCCACAATTAGAGACTTTGAGTTGTAACTCGACCATCTATCTAACTTAAAAATACACGGTGGTATTACTGTCATAACTATGAAATATTACTTCCTTTAAAGCTACTAATGTCCATTCCTGATTCCAGCCTCAACTTAAGACTTCAATTTGGCTTCCCTAAAAGGAAGAAAAACACGATTCATGCTAAATCAACTACTCTGGTACATATGTCAATAATATTTATTGTATTAATAGTAAATTAAGTTTCAACTGCTAGACTTTCTGGTTCAACAGTGTCAAATCTTATAACAGGCATCAGGTTTTAAAGTCAGCAAGAGAGAAAGTGACCACATACTGTCACAACAACCCTGGGCTGTCATTAGCAAAATACCACACTGGTGACCAACCACTTTTCATTGTTTGCAATATAGAGTGCTTCCCTTCCAATATTGAAGGCATCACAGTTTGTGAACTGAGCGAGTACCAGATACGGAATGACCTATATTTCAGAGATACATATGCTTATTAAGTATCAAAACATCAACTATTTAAAACTATAGAAATGATCCCTGAAAGTATAGTCTTGAAAACATCAACTATTTAAGTTCTTATTTTGCTCTTCTTTTCCTTAAGTAAAACACATATACACTGTAATAACTGTCATATATTGGAATCATGTGCTGCTGCTTTGGAGAAATAAAACTAATTTTCCAAGAAAACCTTTTTTAATCCTCAACAATGTTCTCACTGATTTTTCATTTTAAAAAATATATTTTATGAAAATATTTTAATAGAAACAGATGTTACTGTAAATTAGATTGAATTATACTAAATCAACAAACGTTTTCACATATTAAAGTCATCTTATCATTGGAGATACTCAGATGCTGTAAACATGTATACATTTTAGACTTTTTTTTTTCCCTTGGAAACCAAAAACAAAAATCTAAGCACCCCCAACCTCTGCCCCAACCATCTGAAAGGGCTCCTGTTCTCCACCAAGGGCATTCGAAAGCAAACCTGAAAAAACACTTCCAGCCATGATGGGGAAAGTGAACCAGACATGCCATTAAACCCTTCTTCTTTTGGAATTCAGGAAAAGCCAACCAGCATTAACATCAACACAGACCTTAAATCTGATAAGAAACATTTACAATCTATTATCTCTTAAGCCTGCCACCTGGAGGCTTCATCTGGCTAATAAAACCCCTATGGTAACCCAGGCATTCCTTTCTAATAATAACAATTCTTTCAACCAACTGCCAATCAGAAAATATTTAAATCTACTTATGACCTGGAAGCCCCTTCCCCTTTGGGTTGTACCACCCTTCCAATGTAGACCTTACATGTACTGATCAATGTATTATGTTTCTCTAAAATCTATAAAAGCCTGCTGTACCCTGACCACCTTGGGCACCTGCCATCAGGACCTCTGGGCGCTGTGTCACTAGTGCATCCTTAACCATGGAGGGGGGGCGGGGGGACTTCTTAAACTGATTGAAACCTGTCTTAAATACTGTGGGGTTCACAATCTTCAACTGAAAGTTAGTGTGGCCCTAGTGACCTTCATAGGAGATAAAACATCACAATTTTCACGGACTTCATCTTATATGGCCTTTTGCTTTGGTAATCCGCAAAAACTACTTTTTCTTCACTCTTCCACCTTTCTCATGAACTACTAAATCTAAAATTTTTGGAATATGGTATACAAATACCAAGTGCTAAAAAATATATCATTAATTTGTATTTGTAAATACAACTTCAATTTAACGGTGGTTCTCTAAATCTCTTAGAACTTCACCAATAATTTCATATGGCCTACTTCAATGTTAAAATTTAACAGCTAAAGACAAGTACATTAGTTAATAATGAACACACAATAATTGTTTCAGACAAAGAATAAAGAGAAAGGGAATCAGAATTACTCTGCATATAAGGCTATTTTTCACTGTCTCTACCCAGCTATTAAAATTTTGTTAATATCTTAAACCCAATTCAGATTTTGAGCCCTGTGGAGGTGTACAACTTCACCAAGAAAAACTATCTTCAATTATATAAGCAGAGCACTCTTACCAAAATGGTCCACAATGAGAAACCTTAGTCGCATTCCCGAAATGAACTATTTTTGCTGAAGCTGATAAACTATCCATGATGGATAATTGGAATTTACAAACACACACTACAAGTGCTTTAAATACAACCAGTCGCTTCAAATTTCACCCTTGTCAAAGTTAACGGTGGATAAATATTGAAATCAGGTTGAATAAACTTCAAAAACAAATCTGCATAAAATATGTCAGATTATTCTCACAAGTATACACTGAGTTCAACATAAAAATACAGTAACTTAAAACACACTCAGTATGTTCTATTGTACTTGCACAAAATAATGTAAGATTACTCTCACAAGTATACACTGAGTTCAATATAAAGAAAAATAAACATACAGAATAACTTAAAACATTCTCGACAGGTTCTGTGGGTTCCTGAAATGGATAACAAAGGGAGCAGAGTAAGAAAATAAGGAACAAACACTTCCTGCAGGCTTATAAATACTTCTAAAGGATGTTTCACATCCAACACACCCCTTTTAGTGACACAACTGCTCTAAGCTGGGCCTCCAGCTGAGGATAAAAAGCGCCTGGGTCTGAAAGGTGTGAGGTGCTCAGAACCAGAGCCAAGCGCACGCTTTGCTGTCGTGTTTCAAGTCAGGACCCCGCTAACTCCACGTCCCGGAAACGCCCCAGGGCCTCCCACCCACGCGCCTCTCGCCCCACTGCCGCCATCGCCCACGCCGGCGGCCAGGCTGCCTAGCAACGCGGCGGGGCTGCCTGGCAACGCGGCCCACCCCGGCCCGCCCCCGCCCACGGGGAAGGCCAAGTGGATCCATTCTACCTCCTTTTTCTTCTGTCCTCCCCCAAGCTGGATGCAGAGGAGTAGCAGCAGGAGAAGGAAGGGAAAGCTCCCGGTGGGCAGATACCGCAGCCGCCGCCCCGCTTGCCTGCGGCGTGAAGGAGCGCCCCGGGCCCCCATAGTGGCAGGGCAGTGTCTCCTCCACGCCCGGTAGCCGTGCGCGCCCAGCTCCTACAGCGCACCACGCCCGCCCCGCCAGCCTCCGGGAGCCCCCTGGCTGGGCTCTCGGGGGTGGCAGTGGCTTTGAGAGCGACCCGGGCCGCGGCCGAGGACGCTGAAGAGGAGACTGACAGAGCATCCGGTTCACCGGGAGAGGACCTGGAAAGGCGCGGGATGGGGGCAGGAAGTGGGCGTGGCGAGGGAACGAGGCTCCGAGGGCGCGGCGTGCGCTCACTCCCGGACCTGCCTTCCCCCAACCCGCGCTGGGGAGAGGGGCGTTCCTTTGGCCCTGGGACCTCAATCTGAGGCCGTCCTGCTACTGAACCTTTACTAGGTAGTCCAGCACTGTACCTGGGGCCTTACACAGACCTGAGTGCCTTCTTGGATGATGAAGGGGAGCTTTGGGGAATGAGAACCTGGTCCCTGCGGTCCCCAGCAATCTCCATTCTCACTGGGACATTATTAGGAACACAGCTCTTCTCCTTCAGAGCCCTGGCTTACTCCAGAGCCCCCTGATGCACAGAAGCCGCCTCAAACTTCACAGCTGTTCCTTCCAGCCCCAAATGAAAGGCCTGAGGCGCAGCCTAGAATCTTCAGTGATTCCTTCAGCATCCATGGAGTGCATAAGTGCAGAGCACTGTACTAGCTGCTTTTAATACAAAAACAATAGGGTTACTTCAATTTCTATTCTGTAAATATTTTAAGAATCATGGCAGGCTGGGAGTGATGGCTCACGCCTGTAATCCCAACACTTGGGGAGGCTGAAGCAGGTGGATGACCTGAGGTCAGGAGTTTGAGAACAGCCTGGCCAATATGGTGAAACTCTCTATTAAAAATGCAAAAATTAGCCGGGCATGGTGGCGCACCTGTAGTTCCAGCTACTCAGGAGACTAAGGCAAGAGAATGACTTGAACCCTGGAGGAGGAAGTTGCAGTGAGTTGAGATCGCGCCACTGCACTCCACCCCAGGAGACAGACAG